TATATGAATTCTTAAAGATGCCTTTTTGTCTAAAAAATGTGGCTCAGGCCTTTCAACGGCTCATGGATGGAGTGCTACATGGCCATGACTGCTGTTTTCCGTACATCGACGACATACCGGTAGCCAGTAACACACCAGAACAACACGAGACGGGTCTTCGAATGGTTCTCCGTCTGTTGGCCGAAAACGGTTCAGTCATCAATGCCAAAAAATGTTGTTTCGGACAGTCGTCAATGACATTCCTAGTACGCTTAATTTCCTCTTCTGGAATCGAACCTCTACCCGAGAAAGTGCGATCTATCACAGACCTCCCAGTGCCGACTGACAAAAAAGCCCTCTAACGATTTATGGGAATGTTGAATTTTTACCTTTGATCGGGAGCTGCTAGCGATATATAGCGCTACAAAGCATTCCCGCTATTTCCTGGAAGGCAGAACCTTCAGCATCTTCACTGATCACAAGCTCCTGACCAATAAACCAAACAATTTGGTGGATAGGTCCCCACGTCAAGAGCCTCAACTTTCATACATCGCTGAGTTCACCATTGACATCAGACACATTAGTGGTTCAGAAAATCTTGCTCCTCACACTTTGTTCCGCGCCCTTGTGGTTGAACTCGAACCCCTGGTGGCATCCACATCGAGCGTCCCAGCCATCGACATGATGCAGATGGCAGCAGATCAAAGCATCGACCCAAAAGTTGCGACACTGCGTGATCATCTAGGTTCATTGAAGCTTACAGACGTTCCTTCTCAGGCCACACAGATCCTGTGCAACATGTCTATGGGCCACCCTCGCCCTGTCGTACCCCCATCATGGACCAAAACTGTTTTTGAGGCACTGCACAACCATTCTCACCCTGGACCCAAACCCACGATCCGCGCCATCTCAGCGCGCTACGTTTTGCCAGACCTGAAGAGAGAAGCTAAGAACATCGCTCGCACCTCCCACTCATGTCTAGCCAGCAAAGTTGGTCGACACACAAAAGCTCAGCTGGATACCTTCCGACCTATACATCAGGACCTTGTTGTTCCTCTCCCCTCATCAGAAGGATACACCTACTTGCTAACGATTGTTGACAGATTCACAGGATGGCCGGAAGCCATTCTCATTCAAAACGCAGAAGCTATCACGTGCGCCTGGGCCTTACTGCGCAATTGGATTTCACGTTTCGGTGTCCTAGACTGGGTCTCCACAGACCAAGGCTGAGGCGCGGACTTCACGCTGTACTTGGTACTAGCCCCAAGCACACCACTGCGTAACACCCCCAAGCTAACAGGCTGGTCGAAAAATTCCGCTGTGATCGTAAAACTGCCCTTAAATAGCTGCCTTAAAAACGCGTCACTCAAATACACTGGATGGATGAGCTTCACATTGTTCTTCTCGGACTCAGGTCCACCTGTAAGGCCTCGATGCTTCACCAGCATTTCTCACATATGGCACCCACATCCGAGTACCTGGAGATTTGATGTCACCTCGCTTTGCGTACAAACAACGCACCAACAACTACATTTGTCCAGGATCTTCAAGAAACTATGAGAAGGCACACCCCTTACTCTTCCCGCCCAACATGGTCTACAGCACACCTTTATGCCAATAGATATAATGTCAGCTGATCAAGTTTTTCTAAGGTATGATGCCCACAGAGGCCCATTTATAAGGCCTTATGTTGAACCATTTCAGGTCCTGTCCAGGACAGAAAAACACTTTGTTATTCAAAAAGATAGAACATCCATTCCAGTGTCCATTGATAGACTGAAACCAGCCTAAGGGAAACAACAACCCTACCAACCACTACCAACACCCTCTCAGGCTCCCAAGCCTTCGTTGAAACTAGACTTTACTAACCCAGAAGAGTTCCCTCCGCTGAAGAACAACACTCCTCGCATGATTACAGCGCGGACTGGCAGACTCGTGCGGACACCAGCCAAATGCAAAACACTTTAGTATAGATGTTATTCTAATTTAGTTTTTATGTCCATCAGCATAGTGGCGTTCTGGGGGAGCTGTGTGGCGTTTATCCTTATTATCGTCATGTCTCACACCCCATGCTGTACGGTAAACTTGCTTAGTGTACTGTTCGAACATCTAGTATCTGTGTATTTGAAACTAGTAACTTCCTTGATAGGCGCATGCGCAATAATTTAGTCTCATCGACATCAACAAAGTCTCGAGATCTGAACTTGTTTTTTTTCTGTCTGTGTCGAGTGAGTGAAGCCTTAATAATATGTTGCTGATACTAGATCTAGAAAGTAGATGCTAGTTCTTGTTTTCCTACAAGCTTACTCTTATCAATTTTAGATCACCAAGGGATCTTTTACGTGAGGAACTTGCAAACGGGACCTCCGAGATTTTTTGCCCTTGTCCGAGAAGGCAAGGTGTAGATCTTTCCTACCAGGGGTGTGGTTGAAAGACAGTAGTAAGAAGGAGCTAAGGAGTAGCAGTAGAAAGGGTGCAGAAAGAGTCAGGAGCCCAGAGGAGGGGCAAAGAAGGTGAGGGGGTCTGGGCAGAAAGTGGAGACAAAAGTAGACGACAGAACACTCTAGATAGCAGGAAAGGATGTGAGAGGAGACAGTTTTGAAGCATTTTTTCTCTGTCGCTATCCGTATTCGAGCTCGGAACCTTGGCATGAGAGGCGAACACCTTAACCTCTAGTCCATGAGAGCTCCCTAATAAAAATAGGTATGATCATGATCATGATAGCTCAGACAAAACAACAAAAAGTGCGTCCAGTTATGAAATCACGTTTATATTTCACATGCAACAGCTTTAGTGATAAACAGAAAACATTGTAGTTTTTCTATGGTATACTTTTAAACCGCATATCAATTTTATGAACCAATGCCTTTTGTGGTATAACCAGAGTCCAAAAATAAATATTTGAATATTATGCACAATCATTGTCCTTGTGAACTGAGCAGCTCCACTCTCTCCCCGTCCGGTATCTGTCCGTTGACTGACCACTCAGACCAGGTGGCAGTGACAGAGCATGTCGTCATGACACTTGGCGTGGTCCTTACCACAGGCGGTCAC